ATATATATATATATATATAAAATGAACCCAGTCATTATTGTAGAACGATTACTCTCTCAACTCCTTCCAAACCAGAAGGAATTTCTGGCACAGCATCACCAAAAAAAGAAGGTGGGGAAAAGGCTCAGACTGGCAATATGTTTGAGCCGAGTCTATTCTGGAAACATTTGGGTGGGGGGGTTGGCAGTGGGTGGGTGGGGGAGTTGCTATATTTACTGCTCACCTTTATTTAAGGAAACTTCCATCATGATCCTGTCATTGGGGTTCATGGTATTCAGAGGAAACACCGTGGTGCTTTCTGACCCAAAGGAGCTGTTCTCCTTGGTGATGCACATACTGGTACTCAGAGAACGACAAAGGTGAGATGATAAATAGTTGGTGGCAGAAGATGGAGTGCTGAAGCTTGTCCGAACTGTGAGGGTGAGGAGACCCTTCTTGGCCTGCTAGAAAGAAGGAAGCATTGTGAGAAGGAAGAGGAGAACATGGAGGGGGAGGAACACATGAAAGAGAAGGGGAAGGACAAGCAGGGAAGGGAAAGGACAAGAGGAGGAGGAAGAGGAAGAGGAGGAACACATGAAAGAGAAGAGGAAGGACAAGCAGGGAATGGAAAGGACAAGAGAAGGAGGAGGAATACATGAAAGAGAAGGGGAGCAGGGGAAGGGGAAGGACAACAGAAGGGAGGAGAAAGAGGAGGAAAAAAAGAATTCATATAGGAGAACATTACATAGGGCCATAACCTTAAATTTCTGCAAAGCTTCATGGTGTGTGAGTCCATGCATTGATTCTCCATTCAATTCTAGGATTTCATCTCCTGTTACATCAAAATAAACCATTTTATTAGCTAGTTTTTGGCACCAACATTTCATCAACATTTCACCAGCCAAGTTCAACCACCATTCCACACACACATACATTTTTCCCATTGGATAGCCATACATAAGATCAAACCCACTAAAGCCACTAATTTCCCCCCCCAAGATAGATGCTTCAGATGTTTACAGAACCTGAAGACGCTATCTCCCTTGTGTAAGCCAATCTGTCTAGTTCCAACTAAACTCAATAAAGCAGTTCTTTGAGAAAGTTGCAAATCTCGAAGTGCTGCATTGATGGGTTCATTAGTTGGAACCTTTACAACTAATTCAAAATGCAGGGACAATGTTATCCTACCTTCTTGTAACCTTCCATCTGCAGCAGCTGCTCCACCAGGAAAGATAGTCTTCACATAGATGCCAATGGGACCATAAATGCTGTCCTGGCCACCCACAATGCTGAAACCCAGTCCCTAATGAGAGTGAACAGAGGGGGCATTTTACTTGATTAATCACCTGCTCCTTTGACTAACTGCTTCAACAAGCAATCAAAACACTTTTTTATTTGTAAAAAAGTCTTGGAGGGAAAAAATGTTTTTATTGGCCCTCAACTCTAAAAGGCACTGGCAATTTATTCTTAATCAGCTATGGATGGATCAACATTCCTGTTGGTTCATGATGGTTTTCCATGCATTCAAGTTAAAAATCATTCAAATTCCTCACGTTTTGTGTCTCAATAATACTTAAAATCTATGAGGGGAAAAAAGAACTTCTTGCTTCCTGTTTATAATTAGAATGGACTTTGGAATGGAGGAAAGGTCTAATTCAGGGGTGTCCAACCTTGGCAACTTTAAGACTTGTGGACTTCAACTCCCAGAATTCCTCAGCCAGC